GGTTTGCCATAGCCTTGGGACTTTCCACCTCCCCTACTCTTGTGTGGGGAACTACTATCCTGTTGCTTAGGTTCGGCGTAGTCCATAAGGCATTCAGCTGCTGCTTGTGCATGGGCTAAATCTTGCACTCTTTGCCTTTGAAGTTCAACTCTGGCCCATGGCTGCAATCCCTCAAGAAAGAAGAAGAGCTTGTCTTTCTCTGACATATCTTTGATGTCTAGCATAAGCCCAGAGAATTCTTTCACATAATCTCTTATAGTGCCGGTGTGCTTGAGATCCCGCAAAGCACGCCGGGCATTATACTCAACATTTGCAGGGAATAATTGGAGCTTAAGTTCATGCTTAAGTTGCTCCCAAGTCTCAATTGTGCATAAGCCGCGTTGCATCTCATCATGTTTAGTTCGCCACCATAACTTGGCATCACTGGACAAATACATTGTGGCCATAGAAATCCTTGTCTCCTCAGCATCGGCTTTCACAACTTTGAAATATTGCTGCATATCAAAAAGAAAGTTGTCTAACTCCTTGGCATCTCGGGCGCCACCGTCGGCACGGGGCTCGGGTACACGCGCCCTAGTGAATTCCATGCCACTACTAGGTGCATTGCCAAAGGCACGAGTAAGAACATCAACCCGGCCACTGAGGTCTTCAACCTCCAGCCTGAGTTCAGTGACAGCATCCTCAAAATCATGCCCTTGAGTAGGGCCATGAGTTTTCTCAATATCATAAACCCGTTGCTCAAGGGTGGCTAATGAAGCTGCCATGGCCTCCATGTTGTCCATACACTGCTCTAAGAGCTTAATTCTCCCCCTTTGCATGGGTTGGCGGTTGCCAGTACCCTCCATTTAGAAAGCCAATAATAGAGAAGCCAATAATAAAGAAAACCAAATAGACTAGGCTTTGATACCAACTGTCACACACCGGCAATGCGAAAGCCTTGACAAAGGTATGCAAGTGTGTGTGGCGCTAGTTAACTCCCTTCACTAGCCCGCCAAAAAAGCTCGAAAGGTTTGCAAAGACAAGCAAACACAATATTAGTTATGTTGATGAGCCACAAGATTGGAGACAAGCCACAAAATAGCAATCAACAAACTAAAAGTGAAGTAGCAACAATTGAAAGGTTTTGCACAATGTAAAAGCGAAATGAACTTTTCATTACTCAAAAGAAGGCATTACAATAGTTGAACAATGCACTAAAAGTGCTACAAAAGTTGCCTTACCATAAGCTAGGTTGGGGTACATTAAAGGTACAAGTGGTCTGATTCAACACTTGGGTACCCCCTCCTTATATATATGTTGTTAAGCCATTTCCTATCTGGCAGGAGGAAATATCCACTATGTTTGAGGAGTCATAATGGATTTTTAATAATTCTACAAAAATAGAAAAATTACAACTCTTGGTCCCAAAACACCTTTAGTACTAAGGTATTTACATAAAAATTTACAAGGCAAAAAGATTACATTTGACCCTCTAAAAGTTGGCCTAAAGTTGTTACTTGGTGGCTAGCTTGCTTCATGGCATGTCTTGGGCTATCTTGCACTATGCCTTGGGCCATAGCTTGCACTTGCACCAACAACTATTTAGGCATGTCTTTGGCTCTCCCAAAGGGCACAAATGTGTGTGGCATCAAGGTGTTGACCCTTGGATGGGCACACCTTGACACAATGCCCAGTGCTTAGAAGTAATGGATTTCAAACCGGCCACCTACAGTTTCATGCAGAGACTAACATACTCATTCATAATTTTTGCTTTAAAATAAATAAAATAAAATAAAAATCCAACACAAAACAGAACAAAAATAAATAGAACTATGGAGTACAGTAACATTATGTACAAGAGAATGTTTGATTTGAATACTCATCAAACAGTTAACAGGCATTCTTTCTCTAGGATTGATGAGTATCTTAGTGTTTTAGCATCAACTAACAACTTAAGAAGCATGTATCCATCAATAACAGCCTGAAAACAAATACCTGCAAGGCACTAGTACCAAGAACAAGCAGTCAAGTCCTTGTATTGAAAAACTTCAAGATTTCAACAACATGATGGACAACTTCTGAAGACAGTGCTGGCAAATTATTATTAATATCAATGTACTCTGACAACATCTTCAGCAAAATTAAGCCATTGAAAAAAGCAAGAAACAACCTCCCAAAAAATTTGCACAATATCTAATTTAATTTGCACAATATCTGTTTTGAAGGATAGATACATGTCAATATATAATTTAAGGGCTCTCCTTCCACAACTCCGAAACCACTCGAATTTGCACAAACACTTCAGCAATTATTTTTTTATCTCAACTTTTCATCAAGGCAGCCGTAGGGTTTTGGTGTTGGAAAGTAGCTATTTTAGCAACTGTTTTAGTTATTGGGATCCAAGAAATTTTCCACATTGAATAAACAAAATAGTTCAAAATAACAAGTCATCTATGTTAATTACCTGTGTCCCAAATTGTAAGTTTTAATCTTTTTCCACCAATTGTTAGCAGCTTGATCTTGACATCCACACGTGGAAATGGTCATAGCAAGAACCTTAAGCTCAATATTTAATGAATTCAAATAAAAAATGAGTAAAGCCCATCAAAATAAAAATAAAGTGCACATTGATTTTTCAGTTTATATCATTTCCATTCTTCACATTAAAACTATATTAGCTGAACAAGCAAAAAGAAACTACATTTCTAAGCCAAATTGTTGCGTGGAAGTTCAAAAGACGCAAAGTGGATGAAAACGATTCCAATCATAAGAGAATGGGAAAATAACATAACAAGCATCAGCAACATTTGTAGAAGTAAACCCACTTTAGAGCTGAAATTAGCAAAATCACATCACAAATAGTTACAAAAAAATTTGAGCAGCCCTGTCAAAGTAGAGAAGCTTTCTAATGTGTAGGTTTAGATCCATAGAAAACAAAGTGACATACAACAAATTTTGTATAAGTTCAGTTATCCTCTAGATCATCATATCTTCTAAGTTAATATCATTGAGATTCAGTTATGAAAACAAATAAGATTCATTTAAGCAACTAACAATAACCTGTTTGAAGTGGGCCTCATAACCAATAGGAAGGTGGAATAAATGGATGGACTAAACTAGCGGAAGAAACTAATAATACCCAAAACCAAAAATACAAAAGTAAAAGACTAACGGAAATTTTAAAAATTATGATAACTAACAATCTTTGTACTTTTCTAAGATGGAATCGATCTGATTACCTCGCTAAGGTGATCCCCAATCTTAAGCCGGTGGTGTAAGTTTCTACAATGAATGATGTGTTGTTTTGCTCTAAAAAATAAAAATAATAAAAATAAAAACATTGTTGGACATAAAAATAGACGCCAAGAAACTTGGTTACATGGAATACAAGAAGGCATAATTTTTCAAGTTAGGTTGCCAGTGATAAATAGAAGCAAAATACCATGACATTATTCTATGAGCAAGAACGGCTTGTTAGTCTAATCATTTGCGGGATGAACATGTTAAGAAGAGAAATTTGAGATACTACAATGACTAACAAATATATCAAAGAACATTAAAATGGTTAATATGTGTCACTTTGAATCTATATTATCCTTCAATGTCCTCTTAAATGTTTCCCAAGTGCAAAATAGAGCTCCATGAGAAGGTTCTTCAAAAAGTGATCCTTGAATGTCT